CAAAATGTCGTATAAGATTTTACAAAAACACAAAGCATAGAAGAATTGTTTATTCTGTATATTAAACTAGTCATAAGCATGTAAAGTTACTGACACTGGGATTCAGAGGTTCTAATTTATTCCTTATGTCTTCTTGTAGTATCAAACCAAAACAACAAAGGATGAAGGAGGAAGAAAGAACCCCTGTACCCCAGGATAAAACTTCATCCAAGATATTTGGGAATACTGTAGTACATTGAAGTCTATCRAATTGGTTAGTTCAGTTTTGTCTGTCGAATATTTCTCTTTTTTTCACTGTTCAATTTTCTTTTTTTAAATGCAATAACCTGATCATCAGGTTGATGAAAAGTAATCTTTGGTGTTTGACGTTGTTTGAATTTGCTTTCTGTTTTTCTGGCTGTGACTTCTGGATCTTCTGTTTCATCTGTTTCTTCACTGTCATTCATTTTGTCATCGTTGTCAGTATTTTTACTGCAGAAGAAAGGGATAATATTGGGATAATGTTGGGATAATATTGGGATAATATTGGGATAATATTGGAATAATATTGGGATAATATTGGAATAATATTGGGATAATATTGGGATAATATTGGGATAATATTGGAATAATATTGGGATAATATTGGGATAATATTGGAATAATATTGGGATAATATTGGGATAATATTGGGATAACAAAGTGATAAAAACTATGCCCCAAAATAGTTTTGGGCATAAATGATAAGAAATAACTAAATATACTAGTTTCATATTCAATGCATACCACTGTTGTCACAAACCACAGACCCATTAAATTTACAAATTTCTAATTTTTACAAATTTTTTAAAGATTTAGCCTCATCTTTAAGTCAGTATTCAGAGTACAGATACCACTTAAAGACTGTGCTTATCTAACCTGCACTTGGGCATAGCTAAGATTTTCTGAAGGAGAGCCTACATTCAAAATATGTCATTTTCTTTAAACCCCAAAAATGCCAATTTGCAATAATAGGTCACATGACTCTAGCCCTTTGTCAAAATAAATGTTAGAAACTGAAATAATAGGAACAGCTGGGCTCATAATAGATGAAAAACGGTTGGTAAAATAGTAGGAAAGATGTGTGTGTACCTCAAATTGAGTGGGGGTTCGATAATCTGTACTGTCGTCCAGGCACCATAAGGTGAAGATGATTTAACTTTTGTGTTCTTAACTTTGTCCTCTATATCTTTATTGCTTTTCTGCTCTGGTTGTGTGTCCTCTGATTGCTTTACCTCTGGCCATTTCTCCTCTTTGCCTTCTTTTTGCTAATGCAAAACAATGAAAGAAATTCACATCACAAATACAATCAATCCATCAATCAATCAGTCAATCA